GGGTGAAGGTGAGCTTCAGATGTGCTCATCCTCCACGCAGAGCTGAACTGCACTCACTCCGCCACTTCTTGCCCTCCAAGTTGCACGTCTTTGCTTCCATGAGCGGCAAGAAGGAGAAAACACGGGGTTTGTGTTCTCTCTCTTGTCTTTTTTTCTTTCCAAACAACTACCACAAAAGCTAGCTGAAGAGCTTAGAGCAGCTGTTCTATCAGAAATTATTTTTACCTCATTAAAAAATTTAAAATGAGAGCAGCAGAGTGGAGATTAGCTTCTAGTGCTTTGCTGGGTGTTACTTAGTACCTGTGGATCATTACATTGATAAAAATATGTACAGACTCACTTTTCAGGTTTAAAAGTGTTTTGTCCTTTTGTTTGCTTAGCTAAATAAAGAGGTTTTGTTTGACCTGTGATTTTGAATCCAGCTGGCTTTTTCATATACAGTGACTCATACAAAGCAGCCTGCAGAGTCGGTCTCGTTTCCACCGTTACACCACTGATTTCAGCAGAAGCCCCACAGAAAATCAAGTGGCATGGGGGGGCTTTCAGCCTGACTCCCAACCAGGCCTTCCTCACCAGAGCTGTGCTCTTTCTGTAACTGCTGAAATGAGAGAGCTAATCACAGAGAGAGGTACTTCATGCAAGCCAAATTGCCAGGGTCTAGCCTTTTGAGTCACTGCAAGCCCCATAAGATATTCCAGGCTAGTAATAAACCATTAGTTTCTAATGAAAATTGGAGCTGAGGCCAAGGACTTGCTGCCTCAAAAAGGTAATTTTTTATAATGAGATACTGTCATTACCTTAGCTGATGTGTAATAGAACATCACTGGATTTAGTGGGAACAGGCTGGGAGCTCTTCAGACTGACACTGACAGGATTTCATCTACTTCAGAATAAGCCAAAGAATTTTTAAGGGTGTTAAAGCAGGAAATCTCATTTCCATTTTCAGTAAAGGCTACATATAATGTATCATTACCAAACACTGGGCCTGATCCTTGCACCTAACTCAGTGTCTGTTTTCTCATCTCACATGAGAACATGACATGAGAACACAAAAGCCATTGAGAGCACAGGTCTTCAGGGACAAGGAAAGATGTGTGCTCACCACTGGTAACAGCAAATTCGATTGCAGATCTGCAGTCTCTATGCAGGCATAGAGTTGCCCATTGACTTTTGGAAACAGAAGATCAGACAGGGTACCTGGCTGACCCTCTAGCTGGCTCTCTATCAGGGCTGCGTGGGTGTCATGGCGACGCACTTCCCAATGACTGGCAATGGGGGCTCCAGGAAATTCTGTCTTCCATAGATCATTTCATGACCAAGGTAAAAACGCCATTGTCTGACAACAGGAATTTGTGGGTCCAGATACTGTGAATGTTACACCATTTTCTTAAACAAATGTCTGCTGTTTCAATAAAATAATCAGCAAGAAAAATAAAAGCATCATGCTACACACAATTTCTGGACTTCCTCTGTCAGGAATTTCTTCTCTTCTTTTTCTAAAGTGAGATGTTATTTGGGGAGAAAAGAAATTATGTAGCCTGCTTGATGCTATTGTACTCAGGTATCCCTGCAGATCAGGACTCACTTTGAAAAGGAAAGGCTGTATTTTACTGCAAGTGGGTTGATGTCAATTCCGCTCTCAGGGCTAACCAAAAACTATCACAATACTCTCTCCCCTTTTTCTTTAGTCTTTCCTAGAAATTTTGAGTCAGCAAAATCTTTGTGAACATGGTATATAGAAAAAAAAACCACATTCGTATTATCCCAACAAAATGAATTACTAAGATCATTCTAACCCATATTTTCTTCCTAGAAAAGAAGAAGAATGCTTGGGGAAATAACTTAAAAGTGTCTCATTTTTAACAGGAGGGATCCAGCCTTATTTTGTAGACAGAGTAAATCACTGGGAGAAGTGCTAACCTGAAAATGTGGTCATATGGTAAAAAAAATGAAACAAAGCAAATAACATGTTGGGCTGAAAATGGAAAAGTAGCTCATCTAAGTCCTTTTCACTCTTAGATTAAGTGGCTTATTACTAAGGCAGGATTCTATCAGTCGAAGTTTTCTTTATCTACTTTTTATACAGGTTGTCACTGTTTAATGAATTTATGGTGAAAACCCCTGATGGCCAGATCCCAACGGAGTTAATGAAGGGAGGTGGTATCAGGGGTGATCTCTAGCAGATTTTGATTTTGTGTCCCTAACTTTAGGGTCTAAAAATACACATACGGTCTAAAAAAACCACATTTCTCATAGGGTCTTTTAGAGTCAATACTGTTCTTCAGAGCCTGAAGAGAACAGGACTCCTTACTGTGGCCTTCCAGTATCTTAGGGGGGCCTACAAGAAAGCTGGGGAGGGACTTTTTAGGATATCGAGTAACGACAGGACTAGGGGGAATGGGGCAAAGCTGGAAGTGGGCAGATTCAGGCTGGATGTGAGGAAGAAGTTCTTCACCATGAGAGTGGTGAGACCCTGGAATGGGTTGCCCAGGGAGGTGGTTGAGGCCCCATCCCTGGGCGTCTTTAAGGCCAGGCTGGATGAGGCTCTGGGCAGCCTGATCTAGTGGGAGGGGTCCCTGCTCATGGCAGACGGGGTTGAACTGGGGGATCCTTGTGGTCCCTTCCAACCCTGACCGATTCTGATCTGTTTTAGCAGAGGACTTTAGAGCCCTAATGGCTTGGTGGTTGGACTTGATGATCTTGGAGGTCCCTTTCAACCTAAATGATTCTATGATTCTATGACTCACAGGAGCCTGCTCAGGTCCTACTCACCATCTCACACCTGGGTGCAGGTGCAGTGCTGGAGTGTGAGGACCTGCATCCAAGTGTGGAGCACTGCCTGCAGGCAACACACAGTAATGGAGCCAATGGCAACTCCAGCCCATGGTTTTACTGCAGTTCACACAGGCATGACAAGGATATTTGAGACTAAAGCCTAGCAGATGGCATGTTTGCCAGTTTTACCAGCATGTTTGGCCAGATCTCACCAGTTTGAGGCACTCACTGGTCTTTTCTCACAGCAGTTACTACTGTGGGTGATGCAGCAGCTTTGGCCGAGTCTATGCAGGTTACTAGAGCAGGGCCAGGATGCCCCAGCCAGCAGTTTGTTCCCTGGCTTTGCAGGGGGAAAAGCGCTTCGGCACGCTTTGTGCCACCCAGCCACGGGGCTAGAGGGCAGACCTTGCCCTCTTTTAGATGAAGTGCATGAGATGAGAGCTTAAAAGGGGGGGGGGGGAATATTTCTCATATCAACTTCAGAGTTCTTAATTCGAGCAGCGTTTTGACCAATCTTAAGATCTGGTTTAAATCATATTTGTAACGCTAATGCAACAGTGCCTGCCTGAAAGTATTAATCAATTACAATGTCACATTTGTGATTGTTAGAATTGATAAAAATAATGGGGCTAGCAGAGTCTGGAATACAGGTTGGTGTATTTTTAATGGAATATCTTTGTATTATTAGAGAAATAATACTGGTTTACATAATACTTGCACTGACATAAATACAGCAATACTGATTCACAGCCTCACTGAGGCTTCTTGGATACTTGAGGCCCCAGCTGCTCCAGCAGGCAAATGCTTCAAGCGTGGCCCAGTCATAAGCTGGGGAAACAGCTTAGTCCAAACTTTTTATATGGTACTATGGCCATAAGAGTGATCTGTTTCAGCCCTTAAACACAAATTGAAACGATAGTGCTAAACTATAAGATAACCAGGACATAAATGTAGCATAGCTATAAATAAATAAGCAGCAACACTGCTTCTGAAATCTGCTGCATGTGTTATTGCTCTAAATAAAAAAGTCACAGGTGAAGTTGAACCTGAGTGAAGAAGTGTTTCCAAACTCTGCACAACATTGACCTCTGATGGGCTCTTTGAAGCCACTAAGCCATAGAATTATCAGAAAACTGTGTACAGCTCTGAGACAGGCAGACAGCAAAGATGCACTTAAATGATTTTTCTACAGTATGCAGTCCAAAAAAAGGAGAGAGAGAAACAGTTCAGGTTCACTTCAGTACTCTAGATGGTACGGAAAGTCAATTTATTGTGGCATTTTACAGGCTTTTAGGAAAGAAGACTGACTTTATTTTTTTTTTTTTCCTTTTTCCCAGTGTTAGACTAGAAGAGGGGGAAGAGCGAGCCCAGCGTAGAGCCTGATTTTTCCTCACAGTACGATAACTTTTTAATGGAGCATTATCTTAAAGGGCTAACTTACAACTCAAAGATGAAAGCTACTGGAAACTTGATGAATAACTGTAATTAGCAGCCCATTTGACTGGGCTTTTGGTTTCTTTGGTTGCTGAAGAATAAATAGGAGTTTGTGCTCTTCCTTACTCTCTCTTCACCAGACTAAAGGAGAGAACAAGCAAGCAAGCAGGAAGGTGCTTTTCTTGGTGCAGTATTTCATCTCCATAGTGAATGATGATCTCTTTAGGCAGAATTACATGGGAAGCTTTCAAAAGTAAAAAAAAAGACTTCACTCAACTGGTAAATTTTCCATCTCTCTTATTTCCAAAAGCATCTAAACACACAAAATTATATTACATCTTGCAGGTTTTTATTTGTATACAAAATGTTATAATTTATCAATATTGTGCAGCAAAGTATAGATACACACATACATACATACACCCCCCCCTCAAGACACACATACACGAATACAACACAAACACAACTTTCTTTCTCTCTGCCCTTCAAAGGGCAACACTGTTTTGGCAGGTCAGCAGCTAGAAATAAGGTGCTATAATTAAGCAGTACCGGAATGTCTTCACTTTACAAATGTGATGTGCAAATTTATATACAACCACATGTTTTTTTTGTCACGGGACCCAAAACTCCATACCCCGAACCACTCTCACAGATACAAACATGTATAAAGTGCTAATACTTAAGCAATGTTTCCAACCACTTCACAAGGTAGTCTGAGGTTTAGAACAGGCACTGGAACCGTTCACTGGGCAGATTGTCACTGGGTGCGGTGCGAAAGAGAGAAAAGTCACTCAGACATCGCTCGGGGACCGGGAGCGAAAGGACACTTTAGCCTGAAAGCAGCCACAGAAGAGCACCCACATGGACCTCTGGATCTCCTGGTTTCTGTAGGCGTAAATGATGGGGTTGATCATAGAGTTGTAGGTAGCAGGTAGAAGCGTGGCGTATGTGTACACAGAGGGGTAGTTGGGGTCACCCACTACACAGTAGATGGCAAAAGGAAGCCAGCTGGCTCCGAAAGTCCCGAGGATTATAGCGAGGGTAGAGACTCCTTTTTTGGTGGCAACATAGTGTGAAGCAGTCAGAAAGTGCTGCTGGAGAGCTATCTGGTGAGCGTGCCTACAAACGATCTTGCAGATCTCGATGTAGAGATGGAGCATGATGAGGAAAATGAGGAAGAAAGAGGCGGACAGCAGCGTCACGTTGCTCTTGGTCAAGGGTCTGACGACGCTGCAGGCGGCGCGGTCGTGGAGGCAGTTCCAGCCCAGGACGGGCAGCAGCCCCAGGCAGAGGGACACCCCCCAGGCGCCCGCCAGCATGGTGTGGATGCAGAGCACCGTCCGCTCCGAGTAGTAGGTGAGGGCGTTGTAGAGGGAGAGGTAGCGATCGACCGTGATGGCCAGCAAGCTACTCACGGAGGCGGCGAAGGAGGCGACGAGGAAGCCCACCGTCAGCAGGCTCACCGTCTCGGAGCGGATCACGTACTGGAAAACGAAGTTGAGGATGAGGCCGAGGCCAGCCAGCAGGTCGGCCGTGGCCAGGCTGCCCACCAGCACGAACATGGGGGTGCGCAGGGTGGGCGAGTAGCAGATGATGGCCACCACCAGGGCGTTCTCGCAGGCGATGGCCGTGCCGGACACGCAGAGCATCACGTCCCAGGGGTTGAGGGCGG